GTCCTGGACCTTGCTCAGTTAAAGCAGGCGTTGGCCTTACCTACTGTCCATCCAAGTCAGTCTGAGGACACATTTGTTCTGGTTTTCAGCCTTAACTAATTAAGAACAAACTCTGGATCTTCTTAATCGCATCTTGAGACTGAGTGAATATGAATACGTGCCCTGCCGAGGAAGGAAGCAGAAGGAACATCTTTTTGGGTTGCTTGAAGAAATGGATATAGGTTTATGAGAAATGCAGACACCTCCACAATACCGGTCTCTCTTGGGAGTCCTGTGTTCTACACTGCCTGGTATGAGAATTGCAGCCAGTGGGAATAAAAACAAGGACACAGTAAGCATTTTTTCTTTTTCTTTTTGGAGAATTAAGATTACTATCCGTCTGCTCATGTTTAAAATTCTCCAAGTGAAATTTCAAAGAAAAAGGACAAAGCAGGGAATTTTTTTTCTTTCTATTTTTTAATGTCAAAATTAAATTTTAGAAGTCCAGAACTATGTCTTTAGACCCAGGTCTGATTGTATCCAAAACTCTATGCCCTTTCTAGAGCACTATCCATGGTCTGATTTTTATGGAAAAATAAAGCAGTTTCCAAGGACAAAGGAACAAAAACCATACCTTACTTAGGAAGTCTTCAGCGTCTGCCTGATTAGTATATGGGCTGTGTATGATGTTGATGGTCTTTCATTTTCATTGGGAATATTCCTCAAAATGATGCTATATGAGCAAGTATAAGAAAAATTTATAAGAATCCAAAAAGCATACGTGGAAAAATGACATCAGAGACATGTATGTAGCAAATTCTCGGCCAACAACACCACTAATAAAAATAAAGGGATACGTGTTATTTTGTGTAATAGGCAGTAAGAGACTAATTGCAGGTGTGTGTTTAGGAAGATGAAGGCAGTGGGAGAGGTTGAGGAGTTAGGACATCTCCAAGGTGTTTGGGAACTGAACCGTGTATTGGGCAGTAAGATGTTATTCCAGTTCTGCAGTGATCTCTCTTCCCTAAACAAATCCACATTGTCTATTGCAGTGGCTCTCCATCTTCGTGGCCCATCAGAGTCGCTCTGCAGGGAAGGGACCCTTACAAAGCCCCCCCATAACCCGTTGCTGTCGATTCTGATCCTATACGACAGAGCAGAACTGCCCCACCAGGTTTCCTAGGTTCCGTGGCGTCACTAGGGGGTGCGGACGGCACCCCCGACACTGCCGGAGGGGGTGACACCCAAAGCGACCCCGCTATCCGCGGCGGTGGGCGGGCCACATGCAAGGGGCGGGGCCACCAAGGCAGTTAGGCCACCCCGAGCCATCCGCCAGTGAGAGTGCGGGAGGCCAGCCCGGCGCCGCCATTGGACGGAGAGGAGGGTCTTCTATTGGCCAAAGGGAGAGGGGAGGAGCGGCGGGCAGCCACAGAGGGCGGGGCCAGAAGGGGTGGAGCTTCACAGCAGGGCGCTGGCTCCTGGCTGGGTGCCGGCGGGGCGCTCCACCCACGGGGTGGGGTTCCCGCTGGAGGCCCCGCCCAGGGGCGGGGTATGAGTCACTGGGTGGTGCCAACTCCAGTGCTGCCGCTGCCTAGGTTACAGTCTCTAGGGCAGCAGAGGCTGGTGGGGTTGGTGGGATTCGAACTGCCGACCTTCTGGTGGGCAGCCAAGCGCTTAACCACCGCGCCACAAGGGCTTCTCTCCTGCAATGAGGCTGGCTTCTCAGGTGTGTGGTGTTGTCAGGGAAAACCTTCAGAGAAGAAGCTGCGTGGCCTGGCCCGACAGATAGACGTTTCACCCGAAAGATGTAAGGGGTAGATGTGAGAGTCTGGAGCGGCTGGAAGCTGGAGCGGCTGGAAAGCTGGGTGAGAGTCTCCGACCAGACGGGGAGTTTGTGGGAGCACAGTGGCTGCCCTCGGTGGAAGCCCACCCCCAGAGACGTTAAGGATTTGCTGTTAGAGTGTAGTTCCAGGCAGGGACAAAAGCAAAATTTAAGGATAAAACAAAACTTTAAAAAAAAAAAAGTGAAATGGAAAGGTAATATTATTTATGGAGCCGCCAATTAGGTTTATCTAACTTAAATTATTTACATCTTTATTCTTAATGAAGGGGTTATGTCAGGTATTAAGCCAGCAGGTAAAATATTGAACCATAAATATTTTAAAACACTAAGTACAAATAGGTGTAGTTAGTAATTACCTAATTAAAGTGAAATGTTTGCCTGGCAAATGATTTCGGATGGCCTCTGTTTGAAATATTTACTAGTTTTCCTGTTAAATTCAAGACCGCTTCCCAAAAAAACTTCATTTACATTTCTTTGCCAAGTTTTCATTGGGGAAATAATACTTTAATGTTTGTTCTGGCACCCTGCATTGCATTCTTTACTTAGAGGATTTAAAAATATTTTTAAGTAATCTGAATAAGCTATCAGCAATGGTTGTGAAAGTTTGCCAGGTCAGTGAATTAGGCTGTGACATTGAAACCAGGAGAACCAGGGACTTTTATCTCCTTGAAACAAAAGCCTAAATGTCAAGGAGAAAAATCTAGGTTTGTCTTTTTCTTTTCTTCTATTTTTTTTTTTTTTTAAGCAGCAGATGTAAATGTTTTGCTTATGCAACCTTTTTATTAGATTTCAATATTATAAAAGAAGGTTGCTAGTTTAATTGAACATTGTTAGAGTAGAAATTTGTAGGAGAAGAATGAAGTTAATTTTAAATGTACTATATTCATTTCAGAATAAATACTCGTAAAGGCTATACTTAGTTTTTTATACTTAGTTGTTCAATAAAGCAACTATTTTGCCTGTCTTTTTGCAGTGTGATCTCATTTTTCTTTTTTGCAGTACAGACTCATGTTTGACTGCTGGAGTTTCATCCTGTGCAAGAAAACTGACAATTGTTCTTCGCGACAACACTGCAATGAGGCCAAAAAGGAAGAAACTGATCATCAAATTGATGTATCTGATGTCATCAGGCTTGTTCAAGATAAACAAGAGGTGACAGTCACAACCACAGGTAAGGACCCTGGCGTCTTTAAACCTCGTTTTGATCCTGAAGGTCTAACTACTAGTCAGACTCGGGAGCCCTGTTGTGGGCTGTTCTGGTACTTTTAGGAGATTGACTTGTTTTAGATCTCGGAGAATAATCTATTTTAATACATGGTCTCCCAGGTAGCATTCTGGAGTGGTGACTGATTTAATGCAGCTTTTATCTGCCCAGGTTCTAAGTCCAGACGATTCGTCTCAATATGTTTGGTCATTTGGCTTCCTGTTGGTTATTTCTGGAGCTTCAGTGAGAAATGTTTTTATTTTTTTGGATTTTGAATAAAGCACAGTATACCTTAGGGGGAACTATTAGCAGGCTTAGCTTCATTTTTGAAAAACAAGAGAGCTATTGTTTAAATTTGATATGTTGTCATATTAAGATGGTGGGGGGGGGCTCTTGCTGGTTAGGGAATCAGAGATCTGCCACCTGAAAGGGTAGGATTAGCAGAGTACAGGGTGGTGAGAACCTGGTTCCTGGGGACAAGGGTCAGTTTCAAAAGCTCAGCTTGACCTCTTAATCCAGGTCGGTGTGGTGTTTTTCTCTCTGTCCCTCGGCCAAACCAAAAGCTCTCTTTGTTTCTCTTAATGGAAGGAAGTTGCTGCTCCCCTCCCCATCCTTATTTTTGGCTGCATCAAATTATTGGTTGCCATTCCTTCCCAAACTGAACCCAAAGGTGGAGTTTTCACTGCACAAAACCAGCGTGTACACTTAACCACTCCACGTTGTCGATAGTGGCTGTGAAGTCGATTCCAGCTCGTGGCGACCCCATGTGTGCAGAGTACAACCCCTCCATAGAGTTTTCAAGGCTGTGAC